ACTACGTCAACCGGTCCCCACTCTTTGACCTGACCTGCGCCTTGAAGAGGTCACACACGGAGATTCAAGTTGTCACTGTCCGTTTTCAATGTCTTTGCGCTGATGATATGCATTTGGCTGATATATTTGGACAGATAAGCACTTTCAGAGCATCCCTACGTACAAGGACATCCAATGCGTCCATTGCCGTGACCGCTGGCTACCTCACAAACAAAATGATGGATACCTACCTAAGTTGGAACCGATTTTCTTGACGTCTTTTCACTCATTGCCAATGTTATTTGACTACAAGTTTGTGAGGCTGCAAGGAGACATTTTGCCTCCCCTCCTTTTTATGACTTTGACATGTTAGTTACTTTTGGACACCTACGTATATCGTTTAAGGACGCAGAAGTAGTAAAGGGGTCAATCCCATCTCGTAAATACTTTCTTGATTCCTGTATATCAAAATAAGTGTCCTTTATGTATTGTACACAGGTATTCAGATACGCCAATCATTGTTGATGGATTTGGTCGAAATAACTTTCGATCTTTTTAGGATCATTACATGAGGTAACTAATTAAACCTATGCTGTTGCAACCGTTTAGATAAAAGTAACAGAAACGAATGAATTCATACATGATATAATATTTAATAATGAATAATGCTATGCTATATGTTTTTAATGAATTTAGATATAGAAGATATATGTTGAGATGAATTACTACAGTCTGTAAATAATCGGGTCTGGTCAGGACAATCAAGTGATTGGCTTCATGAGCATCAATCTACGCAATTGGAATCAACCAATCACTCACACCCATGTATTCCACACGAGGACACGTTGTCAGATTCTATGGGGGTTGTGACAAGGTAACAGACTGCATGACGTAACGCATACACGTAACATTGCAGCAAGAAACCAATGAAAGATCCCGGCAATTGATAAGGTCATGTATTGCTCTAAATTATTAACCAGAAACTCCATATCTGTGTGACTGCGTGAGTACCTGCGCATGCATGCAAGGAAGACATTAAATACTGTTGCAGTGTCCTTCTGTAAGCTTAGAAATGCCAAAACTGTTCGACCATTTTAGTGGTGTATACGTATCCACCAACCAGAGCAAGTCTCGCACTACCTTCCCGAAACAAAATTATGAAACATGTCTTTGGCATAATTAATCAGAGGACGCGTCACGAGAGTCGGGTAACCAAGGGGGACAATTTGTAGTACTAACAACTTTCATTGAAGTCCCTCAAATATGCCTTTGTTTGCCAGTTCAACTGTTATGAGGCTATCAATCTAGAAATAAAAATTACAAAATTCTTTCCATAATCATAAGAAATCTCTGCTAAAAGCACAGTCCATTGTACGATTGAGACTATATCATAAGCATGTGTTTATGATACACTATGAAATAGTTATGATACCAGGTGTTCGCGAAATGGTGAGCGTATCCTGCCCCCCCCCCCCCCCCCCGATGGAAGCCGCCACAAACACATGCAAAGGCAAGGCATGTGTCAACCTGTACAAACACGGAACGGCATGTACAAGTCAAAATTAGGATTTGAATCGGACATTACTTTGGTCACTGATGCGACAAATTTGTAAATGTCCTACATATGTTCACCATAAAACCAGTTGAAAGCTTACAAAGGCCTTTGAATGCTGTAAGCCTGACCAAACATCCTTTGATCAAGAGTCTTTTGCCTTTATTTGAAACCTTCGCAGAAGTTATTGACTACCCCAAGTCTCAGTCTCATACGTGGCACTAACTAGATTAGAATAGGTCCCCAGCACCCTTTGCTGGTCATAGGCGATGGTCATGATCATGTTCGGTGACTTGGTTGATTTCGAGTCATTGAACGCGAAGGATTGTTGCTTAAAACAATCACTGGATTTTCTTGGCCATACTCGCTTTTGAAAGGCTGCTGCTATATCGCTGGAATATTGCCGAGTGAGGCGTTTAAATAAGCAAAGAACGTTCCCACTTGAAATATGTAAAAACAAGAACACGTTAACAGTACATCAGACATGTTCTTAAACATGCTGTTTAGGTATATTTCCAACATCACCACACAGGCTTTCGCCATGACATGCAAACGCTTCGCCTGCAGGGCTACCGAATCTCTCCCTCAAGTATTCAACACGAAATTCAACACCTACATTCATGAATCATTGCCAACTTTTAATGATAACACAGGGTATTCGTGAAATGGGAGAACAAGTAAACTGAACATGCAAGTGAATCTTAAGGTTACCACACATTTTCCCTGTCGAAGTCATCAAAGTCATCTGTCTATGTCAATCTCATTAGAAGCGGTAGTTCATACACTTGACGCCTCCATCAAAGTATGTATGGTACGCACGCTATTGGTCTTTCCTTATATAACCTTTGATCTTCGACACATTTATTAGCATTGTTTATGGCAAATACTAAATATCCACATAATGAGGTCTACCTACCCCCGAGGTAAAAAACACTTCACCACATTGAACACACTGCAGACAAAAAGGTAACACGTGCGCTAAGCTTTTCTGAAGAAAAACGTGGATGAAGTTCTGTGATTTGATATTTGTTCAATTTTTATGTTTAATGTGTAAATTATTGTTCAACCAAAAGTATTATTTCACGGGGGAAAGTGAGCAATAGGTATATTTAGCTCATGAGAGTCATGGTAAAAGCATCAAAAAAGATTAATTATGAGTTTATAATTACAAATTCCATGACTTTCCATCCTGAAATATACAACAGGACGATTTCATACATTTATAAGTGAATTATTAATAAACTTGCGATTACCTTCACGTGGTTTCCCTCATCAGGTCCTCATGCTTCAAAAGAAAAATAATTCAAATGTCAACAGGTTATCACTGATGATAATTTTAATTAACAATAGTCAAAATATCATTATTGGTTTTGAAGGAAAGCACCATTCATTGGGGGTTCCGAAAAAATGGACATGTCAGCAGTAACCTGTGATTTGTCCCAAGTAACCTATGCGTGTGAGAGGCGACAAAATGGATTGGGTGGTAAGGCTCGGTGACCTGATTGATTGCATCATCGTATCCAAATTGCGTAGATAGATGCGCATGCTGTCACTGGGTTGTTTTGTGTCGACTCCATTATGAACATGACGCCGTCATATAGCTATAATATTGTTGAGTGCCAAACCAAATCACTGGTATTTGTTTTCTCTATTTTTGTAAAACAACTAGCTCGACTAGTACTGTACCTAGTGAAGATGCTATTGATCCCTAACATGCTGCTGCTGACAAGTGGATCGGGTTATTCTTTACGTGTTAATCATGACATCAATATACCGTTTGAAACAGAACGGGGCTATTTAAAGATACCAGTTTTTAAAACGTGAAAATATACTGTTAATCAAATATATTCCAAATAATTCAACAAACTAACGAAATAATCCCTCGAACTAATCCGGACCAGACAAGCCAATGACTGACATGATATTTGTTTGTTGTTTAACGCCGCACCCAGCAATATTCCAGCTATATAACGGCGGTCTGTAAATAATCGAGAATGAGTCAGACAATCCAGTGATTGACATCGATCCACACAATTAAGTTACGATGACATACATGAATAATGTCAGCGAGCCTAACCACCCAATCCCGGTAGTCTTCTCTTACGACAAGCATAGTCGCCTTTTACGACAAGCATTGTTTGCTGAAGTCCTGTTCTTCTTTACGGGTCGACTGACATGATAAGCAAGATCATGGGCATATGTTACTGGGGACCTGTTTTACCAAAGAATCAACACGTGGGTCACATATATAATAATATGCGCTAAAATGTAACCTTATGTTGACCATGGGAATAAAGTCGTAAACAAAGACACACAAGAATTTCCGAATAATATTTGACAGTTAAAAACATACAAAGCGTTGAAAACAACCGCAGGATATTATTCTTTAAGTGTAAAACGTCACAGATCGACAAAGATAAAGTAACTTTACCCTGAAAAAAATGAAAATAATACGGATGCTGTTTAAACTATTTGTCATTGTTGTGATTGATTATACGGCATAATATTAAGGCCACTTATAGATGAAGACCTTTGAAAATATTCAAATTTAATGAAAATCCACCTCCATGGGATTCCGGGTTCGAATTTATCTCTATCAACATTTGCTGGAAATACATAAGCGACGACTTCAATAGAAGAGATTCCTAAGTAAAGATCACAAAGGAATTCCGGGTTAGAATAGGTCCCCAGTATGCTATGCCGGTCGGAAGAGTCGACCAAGTGGTCAGATTAGACTTGCCACTGGTTGGACAGAATACGCTCACCTATCATCGCACATGGTATCATCACTATTTGATAGTGATTCATAAACACATGATATTGTCGGAATCTTACAATCAATTTCTGATGAATATGGAAGGGTTTTTTTGCTTTTATTTAGGCGAAACTCATGGTACATGGTATATAGAGATATGTACACAACGGGCCAGAAGATGTCAATTGGTTTAGTTACCAACAGCTTTGAAATATTGGTGTTTTTCTGCATCACTTATCTATATTATCAAAACGTTTCCCCAACATGTACAGTCTGCATTTTGTACATTTTGGCCTTACTTATACATTAAGTATGGTTATAAGTTATAAAATGTGTTAAAATGAACATTTAAATGAAAATTTCTGAATACTCTCATAATGATTTCTTAATGTTTGGCTCATTCTTAAATAATGCTGATTGTGTGGGCTCAAAATAGTCTGTACTCATTCGATGCCCCTGTCTTAAGTCATTCAAAGGAAACGCGAGTATTTCCTTAAACATTATAATAAAGAGTACCAGGCGTGTCGCGGGTCTGATAGGCCACATAACCGGCAAAAAGCAGCCACTGGTAGTCCATTACCATATACGTAGCAGTGACTTCGCGCTTTAGGATGTATCAAACAAATTGTCGTATTTTCAATGCTGAAATACAATTGGTTGAGTCAACTAACACATTACTCATGAGCGTTTGACAGAGCGTATATAATATGATGGGCTTATGAGACAACCTTGTCGTACACCACAACATGCCGGTGAAACGGGTTGTGCTATAGTAAAGAAAAGGCAGGCATATACCAGAGCATTCAGTTGAACAGAAGAAGCTGGCCTTGTCGGAATACAATTACGGATAAATATTACACACGAGAGTTGTGCATAGGCGTATTCACATTGTTTCTGTAAGTATGTTACATACTATATAGTCTTCTATATTAGGCTAAGGTTCCTTTGCTTCTTGCATAAATTATTTTTGTAGTTTAAATATGTCTTTTTTTTCAAATATATAAATTAAGAATACCAAAAGAGTTGTTTGCTCCACAATTTTAAAAGAATGAGTCTACGTGGGTAAGAATTGTCTAGATCGGTTGGAAAAGTATCAAATGTTTTGACAGTAGGTAATTCACGAATGTAAACCTGCCAGCGAAGTAATAAATAAATAAAACTGTACTACAGTAGAAGTCCCAGTGGGTCAAGTCTTGCTTAACCAGTGTCTTGAAATTGAGAAATGTCACCATACATATACTCCATGTGTGTTGACATCACTTCCCTTAATTTATGGCCTCGACAGTACCTGAGCGAGGGATTCAAAACAGGTTTTGACAGTGCGGCTACCTGCAGTGGCTTGGTGACATCGCGATGGACAGCGGTCAACAGTCGAATGGGACAGGCTCGATCTTCGGAAGCATGGGGTCGTTGGGAAGCTTAGGATCGCTACCTGCTGTGAAGACAAAATCGAAATTTAAAAGGTAAGAAAATTTGATATCACATTTTCTACCGTGGTAAATAGATAGATATATACTTTAATTTTAAAAATCCAATACTATGTTTACGAAGACCTTGAGGTTTCTTTTCAGAATATTTCATTAAGACATTGCCTGAGCAGCCTATTTACTTCACTGCAATGCTTTCCGTCTACGGGACATGTACCCCTACTACAGGGAATGTACTTGGACGTGAATGTTGTGTCAATGATGACAAGATTAGAGGAAGTATAACCGTGCTTGCTTATTAGTTTTAACAATTTGTCTTCCATATTAACCGCGCGCTGATTACTTTAAGGGCATGTAATTCAGTCAGTAGAAATTGTGTGGACATAAGTATTATTACTTTTAATGTCCTCTGTCAGTGATATCATAGCAGTCACTTACTCCATTGGGAAAGAAAGATATTAATATAGTATTATCGGTCTACATGTGGACTTCACGGAACGTAACGTTTTCTCTCTACTTTCAACGTACATTTCTAATGAATATGGAAAAGGTTTCGTCGTTTTTATTTTATTTCAAGTCCTTGATCAATCATATTTTATTTTGAAATATGATACCCCGGTGTTGTTATCAATCTGAATGTGCACTTGATAATTTAAGGATAATGTTTAACAGAACTTAAACTTTTCTTTCTTGCGGGTTTTGTTTTGCTGAGCACATCCTAATTCACATACAGCGTCCCTCTGGCAGTTTCAAGCCTCCACACACCTGAAACAAATAAGCATGTTTGGCAAAGCAAGGATGAATTTAACAACCAACAGATCTGTTTTATGATATCGATGCCCTGTTCTACATAGACGTAGGTCTGTGTTAATACGGGAGATTTCGTAAACCATAAAGAGGAATATGTCAAGAATACCACAGTGACATATTTGCTGTGTTTTTTTTGCATAAGAACGACCTATAAAACATTGTGACTACTCATCTATCACACCGCGTCCGGCATTCTCATCTCAACGTCAACACACGTCACTCAATGACACAATAAGCAATGCTCGGCTTCGCTGGGGAAGGAAATGTGCTATTAAAGAACTGTGTCTACCTATTATATACGTTTAAGAATTTCCGCGATGTTTTTAACATACAAGTAGGACAGCATCCCATAATAGGAAGTAAGAATGTCGTTTATGGGGAGCTTTGGGGATGTTTGTAATCGCAAATATGTCTTAAATCTCAAGGATATATTATTTGGGTTCCTCAAATAATCTCATATACTGCAATGAAAGTTGGTGTTACGCAGTAAGAACCTCGTTTATGGGAAACTTTGGTGATTTTTTAATCGCAAAATGGCGTTATTGGGAGTTTTTTTGTACTATTAAAAATACATTATTTGGGTTCTTCAAACGAACTTATCCACTACTACAAGGTTTTAAACGGTCACTAAAGTAAACAACATGTCAGTGGAACAGTCACTTCTCATACCCCTTACAGATCCAGCAAACTATATTAATCCCCCTTTCAGCTCCTGAAATTAAGATGCTTGAAGGTTCCTTAATACTCGTGGGTTTCCTTGTGGATTGATCTTCTTTTTACTGTAGATATAACTTTATTTCAAGGACTATAAGTTAGACCACAAGCATTGCTAACATATTGATGTGTGGACACACACGTACGTACATCTCGGAAAATAATTGTCGTAGTGTGCAAGGTAAATATTAATGAACTTGGCATGTGTTCATGAATCAATATCAAATAGTGATGATACAGGTTTTCGCGAAAAGGTGAGCATATCCTGCCCCACCGGTGGCACCCGTCACAAACACATGCAAAGGCATGTCAATTCTTCACCTGAAAAAACGCGGGAACATTTAGTACAAGTAAAACTTGGAAACGTTCTCTGCATGTCTACCATAAAGCCTTTTGAAAGCCATGTGTTACCGAAGACATACGTTACCGGTTTAGAAAGCGCCTCCGTTATAGAAACAGTAAAACAATCAATAGCGTCATTGTCACAAAATAATACAAAATAGAATTTTCACGAAACTAAGGAACTTTGTCTCAAACATGTAACATGGAAAGCACTCCACCATAACGAAAGCGACGTCCTGATGTTCTACCGAGACATGTCCCACAGGCTGTAGTCGGGGTCTTGTGCAAGGCTAAGAAAAGATTAATAACACACGGCAGTATGGAGGATGTACATGAGGAGGGGGCAGGCTGTACACTGTGATATACTCTAACTAAGGTCCTTATAAATCTGGCGTTTCTTCGCTGAGCAGAAGTCATCTCGAATCCCGTGTCTTACGTTAAGTGACGTTGATTAAATCGTTGCTTCTCTACACATTATTACTAAAATATTTGCCTGTTCGCGATCGTGTATGTCTAAACCTTGTGCATTCACGTTGTTTCGGTGTTGAAAAGTGTTTTGTCCCGGCTAGAGGAGCTACAAGAATGAATGGATTAAACGCCAACTTCACGTGAGTGTCTTTTCGCAGTTTCAATGTAAATGGACTGCACAAATGTGCAAGGGGTTTAGTTTGTCAAGTAGGAAGTTTTCATAATGGCTCTCAATTTAAACAGATTAAAGGTTTCATGTTTTGAGTGTTTTGATTATAAATTTGGAATGCGAAATGTGGCCAAATGTATTTGTAGTTATCTCGCTAATCTAGACAGTATCGTCTCCAGGCAAATCGTCCCGGCATATATAAGGAATCATGAGTTTGTTGTAATGGTCCTGTTGTAGTTAACGTGCTATAGTCACTGGATTGTCTGGTCCAGACTCTCTGTCGCTGCATTATCTAGTCCAGATGCGATTTTTTACAGGTAGCCATGGCAGAAGTATTACATTTTTATGCCAATTGTGTGACTGAAATGGCAGGACATGCTTACTCTTTTCGTGGTGATTTTCAGTGATACATCCATATAAGTTTCACCACTATTTTGCCTTTTAAGCCCAGTGGACCCGTGAAGATCCGGAGTAGAATAGGTCTTCAGCAACCCATGCTTGCCGTAAAAGGCGACTAACGGGATCGGGTGGTCAGGCTCGTTGACTTGGTTGATGCATGTCATCGATCCAACATTGCGTGGATCGATGCTCATGAAATTAATCACTAGATTGTCTAGTCCAGACACGATTATTTACAGACCGCCGTCATATAGCTGAAATATTGCTGAGTGCGGCGTTAAACAACAAACCAAACCCAGTGGAATCTGTTTCGGCCTCACTCTGCATGTACAGGGCATATATGAGGAAAGAAGTAGTTAATGTGATATAGCATATGTAACAGTTGGGTACAATATCATTGCACAGAAAACATCGCCGCTTAACACCATAAAAACGTAACATCAAAGGCTGACAAAGGTTCTGTAGCACGTCTTTATCCGATATGTCACTTACGTAATTCACGTATGCTATGATGTAAGGCTCAAGTGTCTCCCACCAGTGAGGGGCGTGTTGAGTAATTATCAAACTAGAGCTCAATCACTTTACGGTATGTGACGTGACCTGTTTGGAAACAAGGCAGTAAGTTGTTGTCCAGGTCTTCATGGCTTCCAGTGATCCATCCATATACGCTATTTTGCCTTTTACGCCCACTGGAATCTGTTTCGGCAGATAATCGAGACTATTCATTCTTCGGCTTTCTCGTTTTAAAATGTAGAAATACCAAGAGAATGTTCTTCAGACCTGGGGCGGTTTGATAACCTAGTGGGTAAAGCGTTCGATCGCCACACCGGTTTCGATTCTCATTCTAAGTGTCCCCCGCCGTGATGTATATATTGATTGAACCTGAAGAGCGCCTTAACCACTTGGCTACCCAACCTTTTTCTGTTAAACGTATAGAATTATCTCCTCTATTCAATCCAATACGGGTCGGTGGAGTAGCCCAGGGGTTAAAGCGTTCGCTCATCACCTCGAAGAGCCGGTTCGATTCCCCACATGGGTACAATGTGTGAAGCCCATTTCTGGTGTCACCCGCCGTGATATTGCTGAAATTTTGCTAAAAATGGCGTAAAACCATACTCACACACTCACTAATGCAATGCATATCTTAATAATGAGAAAGGACAGAAAGAAATAAAATATATATTTCTTTAGTTTATATAACACACTTTTGTTACAATTTTGGCATCAATCACAGGTGCAAACCGAGTAGAAACAAATATAAAGAAACACGCCCCCATCATGACAGTATTACCTCAAAACAATCATTAAAGTCTGTCCTTATTGTTTCATATCATTTCCTATCCGGTATAAAAGTCAAATTTTATCATGCATTTCTTGTGCGATTTGTTGAAGTCATTTTAATGTATGCGGCGCGCCAAGTGGTTTTCCGCCTACTAGTTACCATGTCTCAATTATACAAGTACACCTGTATTAAAGGGTAAAGGGCAGCCAAAGAGACGCGACTAGAAACCCTGTCCTATGATGTATATGACTATTTGACGAGGTGTATGATGAGGACAATATTAAGCGATGGGTTTTGGTATAAACTTGACAACCTTCTGTCCATACGTAAACAAGCAGGGAGACGTTGACGGATTGCATTCTGGTCAATCAGTTGTTTCTGAAGTTTTTGAGTTCAGAAATGTCACAGTACTGGTGCTTTTGACAAGACGCTGTATCTAAAAACAGGCAACCTAGACCTTCGATGCCCCTTGTTCTGTCCTAAAGGCAATTAGTGCATGTTCTTCATCATTCTTCGTACTGAGAAATTGTGTACTAAGCACCCACGCGATATTTGCTAATATATTGGCTAGTGAACAATCCCAATTAGCACCCTTCTAATTGATCAATGTGCACAAGACTTATTTATTCTCGTATAATACATTTGTTATAAGCATCCTTAATCATGGGAAATTAAATTCTTGGAAAAAATATCTGTTGTATATAAACATTTCAGGCTGTCAGCATAAACCACGAAATTTACGATCTTTCAACTCTGTTGTTTTTCACTAAAATAGTATTCTAATAAGAGCCCCCTATTTCTAATTATGAGAGCGCCCTAGGCGCTTATTATGTCGAAAACGGTATTTGGTTT